CCACTCTCCCCCTCATGATGATCCGATGACTCGGGGCGTCATGCCTTTATTCTTTTATTCTGCGGAAATAAAACAGGAAAAACAAGCAGAATGTAAAGAAGATAACGTAGCCCCCCGGGGTCGTGAAGACGCCCGTTATCATCACTATAGAGATAAACTCTGAAGCGATGGCCTGAAAATGTTGGTGATTCTTATGTTGCAACAGCAGGACTTCCTTCCAATCATTGGTCTACATCTGTAATAGATGAGCCCTATGGAAGTTCTCGCGGGTCATGTAGACCTGCAACTGACTCTAAAAGTGTGTCTGTGTCCTAGAAAATTTCAAAACATTTGGGAGTGAGGTAACTAGACACGATGTGATCAATGAAAGTTCAGTGGCATGGGGTTGAGGCCACTGTAGTCAGTATCACTTGCCTCGGAAGGAGACAGTAATGAGAGATGCGGTTCCCCGTGAAATATGATTAAACACCTGTCTGTTGGGAGACAAGTGAGTGGTCTTGGGTAGGGTTAAACATGCACTATTGGACAAGATGCAGTGACTTCTACCCGGGATCTGATTAAATCAGTCCTGAACCTATTTGGGAATTGTCCAGAGTATTTGAGTGGCTAGGAGTAAATGTTCAATACATAGGAGGCAGTTGAGGTAGCAGACTCATCATTGATTATTGTTTTCCTTCTCACTTGAGCCTTCTGCTTCCTAACTCTCATAATGATTACTCACTCACTCACTCACTTACTCTCGGCTTTGTCCCTTGGGTAGGCTTAGTTGGGTTTACTAAGCCATAGGAACATGTTCTCTCATTGATTTTCTCTCTGTACTCCCCCTCAACTGGAGCACTCGGTATGCTTTGTCATTGTTAGGCATCGGGGAGGATAACATTGAACACTCCCCCTAGAATGTTGCATCCATTGAGAGATTCCTTGCTTTGTCGGTGTAAGGCGCCAGGAGGAGAAAACTGAAACTCCCCCTCAGAATGTGCAAGGATTGATTGCTCACAGCTCGTCATACCCGTCATGTGTGTGGAGCAATCTGAACAGGTACCACACATGACGGTTTCCCTAAGCTCATCATTTGGAATTTCAGCATGTTTGAGGATCACACAATGTTGATGAGTTAGGAAAGGCTTCAGTAGTTGATTCTTGATTGGTGTAAGATGACCGTTGACGCGAGGTTGATTGAATTCGCAAGTTCAAAACTCGCAAGTTCAAAACTCGCAAGTTCAAAACTCGTAAGTTCAAAACTCGCAAGTTCAAAACTCGCAAGTACAAAACTCGCAAGTTCAAAACTCTCAAGTTCACAACTCGCAAGTTCAAAACTCGCAAGTTCAAAACTCACAAGTTCAAAATTGTCGAGTTTAGGAAGTCGAGATCCTAAATGTCGAGTTCCTACAAAATGAAAACTTGGAATTTTGAGAATCTGAAAACTGCTCTGAATAGCCCTGAAGGTCGAGATTCCTCCTGTATCTGTTTCAAGTCAAAATCGACTGTGTGGGCATGTAAAAGCATAAACTCGCAATTTCATGTAGAGTTCTTAGAAAATGAAAATTTGCAGAAATCGAAAACAAAGATATGTTGTAGAATCGTTTTGAAGAGGCAATTCCAACAGTATAATTTTTACAGATTTTCGTTCACAAACAAGATTACAGGAGCAAAACTCTATATTGAAGAAAAAGAGAAGCAAAACATAGCAGCTCTTCGTTAGATCCAAAAATCGTAGATAGATTCAACCTGTTTCACGCCTCGGCTCTGATACCAATTGATAGTCCCATAACATAACAATCGAACAATCATAACAGGTATAAAGAAGCAGATAGAAAGATATCAAGATAAACAACACCTTTGGTATATCGTGAAAACTGAACGCTGCTCTCCCTGGAGAAGGAGAGCAGCGGCAAACCCTAATCTCTCTATCTCTACGCCTCTGAACTCTAAATCCTCGATCGTTAGGGTTCCCGTAAGTTAGCCTCCTTTTATAGAAGAAGTTTGCTAACTTACGGGTTACAAGGAAGCTAACGGGCTGATACACATTTGTGGCCTGTATTACACGTATAATTAATAACTACACAAATACAAAGATATTTAATTAGATTGGACACCATAAAATATTCCTAACACGTTCTATTCCGGTACCGGTTTAAAAGGGACAATAGTGGGACAACGTCTTGTCCCATCTCGTTCTGTCCCGTTATCCTAAATTGGGTTCGGTACCGGGATAGTCTAATTCCCGTTCCGTGACCACCCCTACTGCAAGGTATGTGAGAAATAAGAAAATTTAAAACTGTGTGCTTGAAATTTGTGGAGAGGAGAGAGAAATGTGCAAAACCACAAATTAGTTGCTTCAATGAAAAGTGACAAAGTTTTTTGGAATAACCAAAAAGAGAAAGTTGGCAAAGTCCAACGGGGTGGAAGGAGTACAATACACAACTCAACTTAGAGTCTATATCGTGACTCTATTTTTCGTCTTATCAACCAATTTTTAATTGATGTGAGTTTTCTCGCACTTAAAATAGATTGTAGTAAATGGTGTAAGTACGAGTATCGTCTCCACAGGGACGGACAATAGGTAATTAAGAATCAATTAAATTCAGCGATAAAACTAAATAAAAAAATGAGATGTGCGAGATTTGATTGATTGGGAAAATTAAATTGCAAAAAAAAAGAAATTAAACTAATGGGTTCTTTCTAATTAATGATGATAGGAAACAGGGATTGATTCCGAAGTAATCAGATTTCTGGCTGATCAAGCTTAATCACATGAAATTAATTTAATTGAGCCTAGCTAATCATTACTAAGTTTTTACCGTTCTCGCAGCGTAGAGTACAATAATTTAGGGAACCGGGTTGATCTCTCATGCGACATGATCCTAAACTATTGCCAAAACGAGTGAGTTTCCGGCCCCTTAATCGCTACTAATCTCTTAGCGAATGATTAAGTGTGTGTGAAGGTGTCCTAGAATAAACTAGATCTCTCTTAACTTATTCTACAAGCAATTGTAATTCTAGTGGTCGTTCTAGGTTACAAAAGATATAAATTAAATCATTTAAACACAAATTAAATACATTCATGCAATTAATCCATCATGAATTTAGTCATAAATCATTCAACTCATAATTGAAGAATCAATAGAATTGAGAAGAATAGAAAGAATTTTCATTAATTAAAAAGTAGGAACTTACAAATAATCCAAGGGAATTGAAGAACAAGATGGAAAAGTAGAATAAATTTCGTTCCTAGACCTCTCTAAGCTCCATCTCAAAACAAGGGTTTACAGGCTGTTTAAATAGGAAAAAAGGGTAAAATTCAAGCTGGAATAGGAGATCCGGGGTCAGGCACGACCGTGCCTGCGGAGCAAAAACGCGTGTCCTGAGTAAGGCACGGCGTGCCTCCCGAGCAGGAACGGCGTGCGTGACTGGAAGTAGCTCCAGCGTTGTTTCCTCTCCAAATTTGACAATGCTTCCTTCATGCACGTTGTAGATAGTTAAGTCATCTATCCACCACAACTTGCAAAACTGGATTTGGATCATCCCTTCAAAAGATATGAATAAAATAGTGGAAGGTCACATTCTGAAATCGCAACAGCGATTATCTGACTTCTTCGTCTGTTTTCACCTTTCTCCTCTCGGATTCTCGCAATGGTGTCTTCATATGATTTGTAGAACTTGAAGTTGGCTTTCACATGGAACTTGTATTGTGTCATTTGAATGTTTCTACAAAAAGATATGCTTGAATGATTGACAGAACGTTATCCTGAACGCTGTTTTCAAGCTCTATTCCTCTTCATTTGATCCCGTAGTCACTCCTAGAGCTCCCTTGTCGTCAAAACTTAATCGTGAACCTCCCAGTGACCTACAAAGCTCTCAATTCTCTATCGAATGTATCATCAACTCATCCCGATTGCTTCTCAAGTGTCAGTGCCAGAATCTAATTCCTGATTTTGACTCCAAATAACACAAAACTCGAACCAATGCCCGGTAAACATAATTTGAGCTAAAATTGAGACTTGTGACACTTAAAAGTTAGGAAAACATCAAAATCTGATTCCAACACACATCAAATTCGTGTTGTAATACAGACTTATCATTAATCAAACATGTAACTCTTTATTACACATATTGAATTGTTTAATAATAAGAAAAAGTAAGGATGAAATTATTTTTCTGACTGTATTCGCTGAAGTTACTATAGGTGAACATTTTAGCTAATTTTCATATGATTTTTTATTTATTTTATTAATAAAATATATTTTAAATATTTTTTTCCATAAATCAGCAGAATTAGTCAATACAACCACTTCAGCCAGAACTTTATAAATTTCAGTTGAATTAACTGATTCAGCCGATTTCATTGTTACCGGTCGGGCTCTAAATTTTGTGATCTTGATTTTTGGCTAATCAACCAAGTTTTTCATCAACCACCTAATTTTTTTTCATGAGCAGAATTGTGTAATAATCAAAATAAGTATGATTGAAGTTACTTTTCCGACTGAATTGACTATAAGGGATCATTTCAACTATTTTTCATATAATTTTATTATTATAAATAAAATATACCCCGTATTTTAATTTTTTCGAGTATTAGCCCTTAATAGGACTAAAATTATCGCAAAATTCAACAATAGGAGTACAATCCCTTTATTCCCAAAATATGATTAATATATGTCTCTTCTTCCAATTCTACCCCCTTCCTATAATTTTCAATAGATTTATTTTATTAATAAGAAAATCATTGTTTTATTTATAATAAAAATATAAAAATTAATATAATATTTATAGATTAATAATAAAAACGTGAAAAAATAAAATAAAAATAGAAAAATTTAAAATAAATAAATAAAATATGTAAATAAAACTTTTAAAAACTCTAAAAAAATAAAATAAAATACCTAAAAAATATTTAAAAAATATGTAGGTCACTGCCAACGCCTCCTCTACCTCCCAGCACCACCAAGTCCCGTCGTCGGAAAAAAATGCCATCTTGTATAAAAAACATGTCGCATTTCTCTGAAAATGCCATGAAGATGGCGTTTTTACTCTTTGAAAATATCCAGCTTTCTCTTCAAAATTACCATCATGATGACATTTTCCCCCCAACTTGACAATCTTTTCCGGCGACCGGAGGTGGCGGTGCTGGAAGGTGGCTGAGGTGGTGGTTGTGGTCTGAATATTTTTTATTTATTTTTTACGATTTTTATTTTTTTTATTCTACCCTTTCCTTTGTCCTTTCTAATTGTATTTTTAAACAATCATTATAAAATATAAAAAAATAGGAAGAGTTGGTCTTATTTTGGGAATTTAAACTTTAAACTCCTATTGTTGCAATTATCATTTGATTTAGTCCTATTTATGTAAATGTTCCTAATTTTTTTCATAATCAACAAAATCATCCCAAAAAAATGTGAGACAGTTACTAAAGAACGGAGGGAAATACGAAATAAGTCATTAATTTTTTTCATCAATGCCGACCACTTCAATTAGAAAAATGAATTCCCAAAATCGGCTTGAAATAAAAAAAAAAATATTAAAAATGATTTGAAGGGTGACAATTCTCAAATCATTTCACATCGGCCGTAGTCAATGTCATCTAAAAAGTGAAGAAATTGTAGGGAAGCTCGTGATTTAAGTTCATCTCTTACGAGTCTTGAGATCTCACAAGTCTTGAGAGCGGAAGAAGAGATTAATTACCAAGTGGCAAAGGAGGGCCGGAAGCAATGGCGCAGGGAAGCAGGTGGGTGGTCGGAGTACTGGGAGTCTTGGATGGTGGGCGACGCCGGCGACACGATCGGCAATTCATTTGGGCAGCCAGGGAGAGTAGTACGCTGTCTGACGGCGGAAGGCATGATGTGATACAGTTGGCGGTGAACAACAAGCAGGGGCGGACCCAGGAAAATCATTTTGGGGGACGAAATTATTTTTCGGGGGTTCAAAATACTTTTTGGAAGAGCAAAAATTATTTTTCGTATATATATACACTAAAAAAAATTTGTTGGGGGGCGGTAGCCCCCTGGGTCTCTACTGTGAAATAATGGAAAATGTTACTCCCTGAGGAGCCCTGGCAGATATATTTATATTAGAGAGAGTTTAATGTAAAGTACAATACTGAGCCTCTAATAATTCTATTCCTCTAATAATTCTATTACACCCCCTCAAACTGTGCGGGAGATACAACGCGCAGGTTGTCTTTCAAAAAATGAAAACGTTGACTAGAGAGACTTTTAGTAAAAATATCTGCCAGCTGTAGATGAGTAGGAACATGTTGAACAATCAGATCTCCATGAGCAACCCGTTCGCGAACAAAATGATAATCAATCTGAATATGTTTACTGCGAGCATGCTGAACTAGATTTGCAGTCAAGTAAGAAGCAGATATATTATCACATAATAAATGTACTGGCTCTGAGATAGGCCATCCAAGTTCGAACAGGACTGAGCGGATATGTAGTGTGTCTTGTACTGTGTAAGCAATGGCACGATATTCCGCTTCTGTGGAGGACTTGGACACAGTGGGCTGCTTCTTAGCCTTCCAGGAAACCAAATTAGGACCCAAAAATACAGCAAAACCTGTGGTAGACCGAGAACTGTCAGGACAACCTGCCCAATCTGCATCGGAGTAAGCAACTACACAGGTTGGCCGATTAGACTGCTGAAGCCAAAGTCCATGATCTCGTGTTCCCTGCAAGTATCTGAAAATTCTCTTGACTGCAAAAAGATGAGCGGTACGAGGAGCATGCATGAACTGAGACACTAAGTGTACTGCATAAGTAATATCTGGCCGTGTCAAAGTTAAATATTGTAATGCACCAACCATGCTGCGATACTCAGTAGAATCAGATAATAACTCACCATCAGAAAGAGACAGAGTGGTACGGGAAGCTAACGGGGTGCGAACAGGTTTGACAGTATGAAGGTGAAAACGAGCTAGAAGGTCAGTAACATATTTATGTTGAGAGAGAAACATACCTTTAGCTGAACGAATGGCCTCAACACCCAGAAAATAATGGAGATTACCCAAGTCTTTCATAGCAAAATGTTTAGATATAATTGAAATAAATTGGGTAACAGAGAATTCAGAATTGCCAGTAATAATAATATCATCCACATATAGTAATAAATAAATAATAGTATTATTCTGGCGGTATATGAACAAAGAATTGTCGGATTTGCTACAGGAAAAATTATGTTGTAGAAGAAAGCTACTAAATCTATGAAACCAGGCTCGTGGAGCTTGCTTAAGGCCATAAATGGCCTTGCGTAGACGACATATATGATTAGGAAAGTGAGGGTGAATAAACCACGGGGCTGCCGCATATAAACTTCTTCTGTCAGATTCCCATGCAAGAAGGCATTTTTAACATCAAGTTGTCGTATACCCCACCCAAAAGAAATAGCTAGAGTAAGTACAATACGAACAGTGGTGGGTTTAACGACAGGACTAAAAGTTTCAGAGAAATCAATACCTGCCTGCTGATTAAAACCCTGTGCAACTAATCGAGCTTTATGGCGCTCTAAGGATCCATCAGAATGATATTTAGTTTTATAAATCCACTTACAACCAACAATATTTTAAAAGTTATCAAAGGGCACCAAGTCCCACGTATTATTATTAATGAGTGCATTAAATTCATCAGCCATCGCCTCACGCCATTTTAATTGTTTATTTGCCTCAGTAAAACAGGTAGGATCTGCATTGATAGTAACTGTACTTAAATTAAAAATGGTTTTAGGCTTAAAAATTCCTGACTTAGCACGGGTTTGCATGGGATGGTGATTAACTACCGTAGTGGACGTAGGTGAGGTGGTTTCAGGTGAGACAGTGTCGGTTGATGTTGTCTGTGGCGTGCTAGACGAAGTATGGGAGGAGAGATGTGATGGTGGGGGGCTGGTTGTGGACGTGGGATAGGAGGAATGGGGCAATGGTACACACGGAGTGATAGGAATACTTGGTGTCCGAGGTGGCGATGATGGGGGTGGTGCTGGTGCGGCCGTAATTGTGGGAACAGGCTGGAGAGGTGGGTCAAGAGTGATATCGGTGAGATGCATAGGAGATGGTGTAGTAGAAATAGACCTGGATGGAGCAGACGAGAGAGTTTTAAAAGGATATGTGTCCTCATGAAACCTAACATGACGGCTAACATAGACTCGACCTGTGAAAGGATCCAAACAACGATAGCCTTTATAACCGGATGCATAGCCAAGGAAAACACACTGAACTGAACGAGGTGATAATTTATTGGCTGAGGTGGCATTAAAATTTGGATAACAAGCAGAACCAAATACTCGCATAAAGGAGTAATCTGGAACTCGGTTAAACAGTTTTTGATACGGAGTAAGACCATTTAAGGTAGGAGAGGGTAATCTATTAATAAATTATGCAGCAGTAAATATGGCATCGACCCAATAGTGACTCAGAACCGAAGCTTCAAGAAGCATGATCCTAGTTAACTCAAGTAAATGACGATGCTTGCGCTCAGCAACCCCATTCTGTTGAGGTGTGTCAGGACAAGATTTTCTAAAATAAATGTCATTAGCAGAGAAAAATTGCTGCATATTATTATTAACAAATTCACCTCCCCCATCACTTTGAAAAATTTTAATTTTCTGATTAAAAAGATTTTCAACCAAAGCTTTAAAATTTTTAAAGTGCATGAAAACTTCATTTTTGTGACACATGGGATATATCCAAGTATAACGAGAAAAATCATCAATGAAACATACATAATACTTGAATCCCAAATTTGAATACACAGGTGACTGCCACACATCAGAATGAATAATTTCCAAAGGAAAAATAGAATTATGACTAGCATCCATAAAAGGTAAACGTTGTGATTTTCCTAAACGACAGGCCACACACTCATGAGTAAAGGGAGTATGACTACATAAAAATTGTTTTCTCTTAAGAAACTGTAAAGTACTATCACCACAGTGACCTAATCTACGGTGCCACACAGGGCCAGAAGCTAAAACGGAAGCAAAAACTAATGGTGATGCAGACGGCAGATGGAGAGGATAAAGTGGTCCACTACTAGTAGCTCGCAGAAGTATTGCCCCCGTTGCTTTGTCCTTAACCAAGAAAGAATTTTTATCAAAAATTACAGTACAATTATTATCAGCACAGAGCCTTTTAATGGAAATTAAATTATATTTTAACTGAGGCACATGATACACGGATTTTAAAGTGAGAGGACGACCAGATGTAGGTAAAGCAACATCACCAATATTACATATGGGAAGATGGGCACCATTAGTAATTTATTAACTAAATTACCTTCAGATGCAGTCATATGAGCAGAAGCTCCTGAATCAGGAAACCATAGAGCAGGAGTATTGTCACCGGGAGTAGTCAACAGAGCAGGAGACGTTGGTTGTGTGAAACGAGAAGGACAGTTAATGGCAGAATGACCCGCAGAAAAACAAATTTGACAGACAACAGGATGGGGAACAGATCCGAGAATACCTCCGTCTGATAGCAAGCTTGTATGACTACTGTTAGGAACACAGATAGGTAAAGCATTAATATTTAAACGTGACACAGCAGAATTATAAATAACAGTACCCGTAGATGTCACACCCCCTGCAGGAGTACTCGGCTGCCCACCCCCTCCGGGGTAATAAACTGGATGCCCCTGGGGGAACAAATATGCCTGTTGTTGCTGTCCTCAGCCACACCCCCTGCCTCCGCGGCCTCTGCCGCGCCCACGTCCTCGCCCGCGCTGTGGAGCGCCGTTCTGCCGAGCCAGCCCGACCGGGTAAGTCTGCTGCCCGACCGGGTGAGTGGATCCTGAATTCTGCTGGGTTGGCTGCTGCCCAGACGACTGCCTGGGATATGAAACAGTCGCGCCAAACGCCTGATGAAGGGACTGGGACTCCTGGGAGCGGAGATAAAGGACCCGCTGCTCTAACTCAAGAAGATGATTACGGAGAGTCTCAAACGGGAAATTTTGTCCAAATAAGGACACAGCAGTGTATAAAGATTCATACTCAGATCCTAGACCCATAATAGTAGTTTTTAAAATTTCACGCTGAGGCACAGGGCAATTGATTTTGGCAAGATCATCAGCTAATGTTTTAATTTCTCGCAAATAATTATCCATGGACTGATCATGTTTCTTTTTAATTTGATTAAATAAACGCTTTAATTCCATAGATCTCGCTAAACTAGCAGACATAAACCGAGACTCCAACCGCTCCCAAATTTCATATGAATGTTTTAAATCACGTACATCGATAAGAACATCCCTAGATAGGGTTGCAAATAACCATGAACAGATGGTTTGATCAATTCTTAACCAAGTAGAAAATTCGGGATTGTGAGTTTGACGGTTAAGAGCATCTATGGAATAAGCAGGTGGTACCTGAATGGAGCCATCAACCATGCCAGGAGAGCTTGGGACACCAAAAACGATTCGAACTGTGTACGCCAGGTAGTGTAGTCTTCCACCGCCAATAATTTGGTAGTTACAATATTTGTGACATTAGTTGCCACATGTGAGATACTCTGGGCGAGATCTGTGAGGAGTGAGCCAGTCGGGATGGCTGCTGGTGTGCGAGATTGAGGGATGACAGAGGAGACACCAGGTGTGCCAACAAAAGTGGGACCGAAAAAATATGATCCAGCCGAGAAGGGTGGCGAGTAGAGGCCTGGGACCGCTGGCATGGCAGATGGCTGCCATGGAATTCCCGGATGAAGAGGCTGAAATAGTGAGTAGGTACCGGGAATGTCAGCGATGAACGAAGAAGAGGCTGGCGACGAAGTCACCTGCGGCGGCGCGATCAGAGGAACGGCGGCGCTGGTGATGACTACGGCTGCGTCGGTGGAGGCTGATGTGACCGGCGCCATAGTCGAAGAAGTTGGAGCCACGGTGGAGACTTCCATGGAGGAGAAGAAGAGGCCCGCGGCGGCGGTTTGCTGAGGCGCTGCGGAACACGGGTTAGGGAAGAGAGAGGAAAAATTTAGGGCTCTGATACCATGTGAAATAATGGAAAAGGTTACTCCCTGAGGAGCCCTGACAGATATATTTATATTAGAGAGAGTTTAATGTAAAGTACATTACTGAGCCTCTAATAATTCTATTCCTCTAATAATTCTATTATCTACTACGGTCCGCCCCTAACAACAAGGGACGGCCCGGGGCCGACTGGTGTTGTGGCTTGCGGATTTCACATAGAAGAAGACGCCGATAATGTTTCTCTTTGTTTAGGACTTCTGGAATAAGCATACGTTACTCAATATCTACAGTTGGTTGATACTCCGTATAATAAGAGGCCGTTTGGCAACCCTAATTTTCGGCTTATCAACCAACTTTTTTACCAAACACGTAAAATTTGCTTTCGCGCGCTGAATTGTGGAATAAGCTGAAAAAGTAAGGTTGAAGTTACTTTTCTGGCTGTATTGGCTGAAGTTATTGTAGATGATCATTTTAGCTATTTTTACATATAATTTTTTCTTTATTTTATTAATAAAATATATTTTAAAAATATTTTTTTCTTGTATCAGCAGAATCAGCCAATGCAGCCACTTCAGCCAGAACTTCATAAATTTCAGCAGAATCAACCAAAACAGCCGATTTTCGTGCTACCAAACGGACTCTAAATGTCCTTTCAACTCCATATTTATATTTTCAAAGAAAAAGAGCCTGTAATTGATAAGAGCCAAATCAATTATAAACACATTCATTCATCTTTATTAGCCTGTAATTGATCATATGAACTATTCAGTTTAATGCTTAAACTAGAGTGTTTATAATTTTTAATCAAGAATCTATAATATATTGTGCTTGCAAATGGTCTATTAACATTGTATATATTATGTATGCACAATGTTGTTTGAGGGGTAATTTTTCCATTACTAATAAAAAACAAGGACAAACTGTTAAATTCTATGTAACAGAGAAAATTTACAAATTAAATATAGAATTTGAGAAAATATACTCCATTTTATAAATGATTTGAGATAATAGCATGCCCATGTCACTTATATTTATTTTACCCAACCAAAAATCAATTTAAAGCACTAAATATGACAATGATTGCAAAAATAAACAAATCGGATAGAACAAAATAAATATTGAAAACACAATAGAACTCTTCAAACTTCCCAAAAGAAAACAATAATGTGAGATTATCACCAAACATCAAGATAGGAATGCTTACCTTCCAGCAAATCTGAATATATAAATAGATCAAGTAGGACAGAGCTGTTACTTTTCTTAAATGGGAGAAGATGATGACACTCATTGAGAAACATCACAAGAGTTGTCCATTCCTTTACTCCAAGACACATAAACAAATGGAAAACTCAATTCAACAAATATAAACATCATATATCATATGTTCAATCATTTGGATCAAATAAAAAAGAGGTCACAAGAGACCATATGAACATTGATGAAAAACAAGAGGTTATAAGATGAATCAAAAAGGCTGATGGCAAATGCAACATAATATATAGAATACATGGTGTAGTTAGATTTGGTGGTAGGGTGGGTTTACATGGTGAATATTGGTTGGGTTCGGCTTTGCATATGGGCTATCAAAAAAATGATTTTAAAAGTTTATTATTCGGGTATTATTAGCCCTTAATAGGAATAAAATAAGCCCAAAATTCAATAATAGAAGTACAATCCTTTTATTCCCAAAATAAGACTAATATATGTCCAGGAGCGGACCGTAGTAGAGACCCAGGGGGGCTACCGTCCCAGCACCACCGACTCCGGTCGCCGGAAAAAATGTCATCTCGTGTAAAAAATTCCACATTTCTCTGAAAATGCCATAAAGGTGACATTTTTACTCTTTGAAAATATCCAACTTTCTCTTGCTTTCTCTTCAAAATTAACATCATGATGACATTTTTCCCCAACTTGGCAATCTTTTCAGGTGACCGGAGGTGGCGGTGCTGGAAGGTGGCTGAGGTGTTGGTTCAGAAATATATTTATTTTTTATTTTTTACGATTTTTTTTATTTTGATTTTTTTAATATTTTATAATGATTTTTTAAAAATCCTATTATCAAGGACAAAGGAAAGAGTAGAATAGGAAGAGTTAGTCCTATTTTGGAAATTTAAACTTTAAACTCCTATTGTTTCAATTATCCTTTTATTTACTCCTATTTAGGTAAATCTCCCTTTATTATTTTAATTAAAAAAGCTTTTTTATTGGCAGCTCAAAATAATATTATACAAGTATTGGTTCGATCAAAATGAGTAGACAATTGCAAGCTCAATGCAATACTCCATCCAGTTCTAAAAGAAGTTCTCACATTATATTTGTTTTTCCGTACGTCCAAATTAAAGTTTTCATTTTTCTCTCCAACTACGCATAATCTGCTTGTTGTAAGGATATAATGGGCAGATCAAAACTAACAATTCAAATTTCTTAAAAACCATAAATTCAAACTAAAAACTTCTTTCAAAACTGGATTGAAATATATAACACGCATTATGCACTAGCTTAAACTTTCTATACTAATTATATGTTTTTTATATTACATCTAATTCTTTTTTAATAAATTTATACATTCTCTATACATAAAGAATTTTTCTTTGAATAATAATACGATACAAAGTATAATTTTTATATATTGTTTTTCGTGCATCACACGGGTGAGAGCCTAGTTTAAATAAAGTACGTAGTATGACACTGTCATGTGGCAATGAGGAGCCGATTTATTTAAAACTAGAGTTGGATCTATGTAGGCGGAAAAATGAAATAGCTGACATGGGCTAAATGGGAAAAACGAAAAAAATAGTCATTTTGCTTATCCGACTTATCCATCAATTTTTTCATCAAACACCTAATTAACATTCGTTTTCGCGCGCTGAGTTATACAACAATAAGAAAAAGTAAGATTATTATAGTTACTTTTATGGCTGTGTATTGCCTAAAGTTATTGTAGATGATTATTTTAACTGTTAATTCATACTACGTATGATTTTTTGTTTATTTATTTTTAAAATATATTTTAAAAATAAATCGTTTGATAAACATTTGCTTTTAAACCAAACCAAACCAAATGAATGGTTCCGTTTGATTTGGTTTGGTTTGATTTGGTTTGGTTTGATTTGATTTGGTTCCGCCTTCTATTTTTTGGATAAAATGTAAATATATATATCCAGAAAAATAGCATAGTACAATGCATCACAAATACAATCAAAGTGCATATCCCCAAACTCAGGATACCACAAAATCAAGAAACAACAATCTCACAAATCAACATTTTGGATCCAAAACTTTAGGAACCAAATACACTCATAAACGTCCTCACTAATCAACATAATAATAAGCTTACAGAAAGCAACATCAACAAAGACTAAGGTTTCTCTGATTTAAAAGCCAAGGAAAAATCGGAAAGGTTTAGTGAACTTCTAAATTCTAACTCACGAGTCACGACTGCCTAGGGGTGGACTCGGGTCCGGGCCGGGTCCGGGTCGGGCCTAGGCCCGGGCGGGCCGGCGGTTCAGAAAAGGTGGACCCGGGACCGGCCCGGGTAACCACCGGGTCCGGTCCGGGCCGGGCCCATTATCATTTTTTGTTTTTTTTGTTTTCCTCTTCCTAATTAACCCCCCTCCCATCCCCAACCCCCCAAACCACCCCAAATGGCCCAAAATACCCAGCCCAACCCAAAAGTTTAAAAAAATTGGAAAAAAAAATAGGTTTTGGCCCGAACCGGGCCCGGACCCGGCCGGGTCGGGCCTTGTTTTGGGTGACCCGATCCCAGACCGGAAAACCCACGGGCCGGGCCTACCCGGACCGGTCACTGACCGGGCCACCGGGCCGGGCCGGAACAGTACCGGTCCCGGGCCAGTTCCAGGTCGGGCCACCCGGCCCGAGTCCACCCCTACGACTGCCTAAAGGAGTTACTTAGCAGCCTGCCTAATCCCTCAGTCTCCGGCCTTCTAAGTTCCTCACGACCCTTACCGCCTCAGCCCTTCAGCCTTCACAAATTCAAGTGAGTCCAGCTTCCTTCATGGCTTCATTAATCGTTATTTCATTATATGCTTAGTTGAATAGTTGATAAAATTGATTAGTTTATACTCATAACTCATTAATCATTATTAATTGATTTCCTTCATCTTTTCATGAATCAAGATTGATCTTCTTCTTTTTTACTGCCATGAATCATGATTGATGATTCATAGTTGTTTAATATTTATAAATAGTTGATAAATAATTAGTTTTCAATGATTACATGATTTGTATTTCATAGGCTTTAAGTTGTATAACATGATTATGTTAGGTAAAAGTTTCAATTATAATTAAATTTATAAATTTAATTAATTTCAAGGTATAATAAAAATGGTTGAATTTGGATGGAAGAAAAAGAAAAAGAAGCAAAGATTTGATAAAGCGGTCCTAAGTCAAAAAGGTTCGATTGAAAAGTTTGTATGTGTGAAGAAGTTAAATCGTGAATGTGCTCCTCGAGATGAGAACTTAGTGGAGATGAATGATTTAGCTACTGAAAATGAAACGATTCAGAATGATAAATTGAAAGAAAGTTGTGAGATACTTGCAGACGTTTTACAAGATGGTGAGAAAGAAGATGTTGATAGGAATGATCTCTCTCAATAATTGAAAATGTTGCAAAATGTTTTACCGAATGACAAAGACACTCTCATTCAAATTCTTGATTTTGTGAAGATTATGCGCTGCTATCCGAACACAACAATTGCTTATAGGATACTATTGACAGTACCGGTAACTGTGGCCACTGTGGAAAGGAGTTTTTCAAAGTTGAAGATTCTCAAAAATTATCTGAGATCAACAATGTCCCAAGAAAGACTTAATGGATTAGCTATATTAAACATTGAACATAATGTGTTAGAAAAGCTTGATTATGAAGCTATAGTTGATGACTTTGCTTCACAATGTTCAGCAAGAAATGTATTTAAGTAATATTTTATTTGGTTATTTTGAAAACGTGATTCGACTATGTTTAATTTAATAAATTCAGGTATTTTCTTAATTATAAAGGTCTTCAAATAGTATTATCTTGCATGTTAATTTAGACAGAAACGGATTTTACACTTTTTCCTAAAAGTAGGTGTGTTAAATTATTCGCCTATAGGATCTCAAATATACACGAACGCCCCTGAGTACAATGTGTTTAGTTAAAGTATTGAACTAGTAGTGGGAGTATAGTAATTAAAAAAAGCTTTAACGCATGTATAGATTACAGTGAAATGGTGATAAAGTGTGTCAAAGTAAGTAAAAGGTGTACTAATAAATTATTAGTAAAAAGAGTGTGCCTTGGAATTGTAGACACTTCAATATTAACAAAAGTAAGATTGTATTAGTTTTGGAATTGTAGGCACTTCAATATTAACAAAAGTGCATTAGTTTACCTAAGAACGTGTAATGTTTGAGTGAAATTGCATTAGTGTTAAAAATTGCACGAAGTTAGGTCAAAGTGCAATCATAGTGCATTAATAAAGGAAGAATACATTACTCCTAAATATAATTCAACATAATGCTACAAGAGTGAATTAAATTATTTAAAAAGTGTAATATTGCGCAATTATTGTTGACGTTGTGCAGTATGAAACTGATATTGTGCACGTAATATAAAGTGTGACTATTAGTGAAAAATGCATGTGAGATTAGTGTCAATTGCAGACTAGATATCCAAAATTCTATTCACGTGAAACATGAATTTTGTGTTGGGAAAATGTGTTAAAAATTGAATTATATAGTGGGGTTCACTTACGATTCGGGTCGGGTCAACGTGGTTTCGGGTTATCCTTGCTAAGGGCTACAATTCAATATATGGTACACTTAAAACGGATAACAGATGAATGAGAAATTGATTCTCGAAGTTCACTCGTTGAAATCGAAAAACTGGGAAAATGATGAGTTTCTAGTGGGATTTATCCCGCACCGGAAAACCCAATGGATTTTCACCCTCTATTAAAGAGTTAAGATTCTTAGGTGGAAAAGGCTCTCTTCACGCGCACGGGTGACAATCAAATCCCGAAAATGGAGAACAAAAACTGCGGACACGAATGTTGTTCCCGTAACGTTTTATTTGTTCCCAGAACCATAACTGCATGGACAACACATGCAATCATACACAGTTAGCACGTATCATGGGAAACGGTCGTTTCAACGCTCCTAGTACCGTGAGATCGAAGCCAACAAATACGTTTTAAGTAAATCATGCGTTGCACTAGCTCTGACTAATTTCTGTTCCATCTATTTTCGGTTTTTCTTTGGCTGTTTTATTTAATAATTAATTTTATTTAATTAATATTTCTTCATTTTTCCGAATTACATCCAAAATTTTGTATAAGTGCTAAATGGTGGTGATAATTTAAATATGCATCA